TGATTCTACCAAGTGTTTATATCATTCAGCAATATGAAAAATCTTTAAATCATCCTCTTGTTGTTTGATTAACTGAGAGATAACAATCACTATTATTTAACATGAATTATTTGCCGAAGGCGAAGTAATTATTGGTGGAATATTTACCGAACCCAGAGTCTTCAGAGGCGAGGTAAATATTCCACCGATAATAACTGTGCCTGAGTAGAATAATTGTTTTAATATAATTTTAGACTTGAATATCACAGAAAAGTCAAAATTCAGGATAAAAAAAGTTTAGTATTACTTCTGCTCTATCAAACTTTTGGAAACCTCATAATCACCGCTCCAGCAATGATTATTGTCTCAGAATCACCAGTCACTTGACCAATCACAGCTCGAGAAACTCTATATTCAAGTCGAAAATTATAGTCATTAATATAAAACTTTCTTTATAATCAAGGTATTTTCCATTGAAATACCATATGACATGTTGAAAAAATAATTAATGATTTTTTTCAAATACGGAAACATTATTATTTTATTCTCATGTACTTTTTTAATCATCATCAAAGATTCATAAAAACACAGTTGGATAAAATGCAATATTTATTCAAAAAGAAAAACTCTTTATGACATATGGTTCTGGATCTATGAGAAAATAAAATAACACACACTTCCCATAGTGAAAATTTAGTGCAATTGAAAACGAGCTCTCGCAGGAGACATTCATTTAGATAAACTATTCAGGGGGTATAAAAAATACTTAATAAATATTAGATTTTCATTTCAGGCTACAGAACTATGAATGTATTAAAACATATTATGATTGAAAAAGAAAGAAAACAAAACAGTTAACAGTGAGTCTACAAACTGACTGATTGATTTTTGTTTTTAATTTAAAAGGGGTCAAAATAAAGTTGTACATTCTAGCATGGAAAAGTTGAATTTTTATACCTACAAAATAATAGAAAAAWTTTTGCGAGGCCTTTGAAAACCTATAATCTATAGTCTAAAGATACAATATTAATGAAAATCACTCACACAATCTAGATTTAAAATATTTTTAAAATTTCGATTTCTGTAATAAGCTGTCAGTAATTCAGAAAATCGTAGAACATGTATTTGAATTAGAAAATAAAGAAAGGTGTGAATAGTAAAATTAAGGAATTCTTATTCATAATCATGGAAAAATGCCTCTGGATGTGAAACAGTAATTAATAAGATATGACAATTCTATTTCATTTTTAGGTCATCTATGAGATAAAATCTGTGTACTTCTTTTTTAAATTGAAAAAGAAAATTTGAGATTTTGATGATTAAATTAAAGTGATGATAATTAAAAATGTCAAATATAAAAAAGAAATTTAACAGATGCTTCCTAATATATTATATGTTTTCTAATTTTAACTCCAAACACAAATCCTGAAAATCTAAAAAAATTAAAAGTAAAGTAATTAGAATGGAGGGGRAAAAATTAAAACTATGCCTATTATGGATAATACCATTATCTTTTGAACACATAATTTGAAACATTGAATTCTTTTGATTTTTCATCAATGATACGTGTACAGTTGAGCTAAGAATTTAATACCCAAAAAGATGACATTTCAAATAAAGTAGATTGTTAATTTAAATCGTTTTAAAAACTTCAAACTGGTCATCCTCTTCGATGTTGAAAAGTCAGACTTGTGTCAATGCGTTAATTATGCTTTTCCTTTAAATTTAAAAATATCAGAATTAATGGCTAAATGCTGCAATTTGTTGGCTTGATTCTTTGGCAGAATGTATTGGGAAGCAAAATATGTATCGTTTGATGCCTGGTTCAAGCCCAATTTGAATGCTCTACACTGAGAAAAATCTGGCTGATATGAGAAAATTTGCATCAATATACAGATTTTCTAAATCCTGCCATTGATTCAATTTTTTGAATTGGGCTTGACTGATCCAGGCTGCTCTAACTACACAGTGCCAAAACTGATACTTCAAGATTGCACTGGGCTGACGAAGAGAGAGAAAAAGAGAGAGAGAGAGAGAGAGAGAGAGAGAGAGAAAGAGAGAGAAAGAGAGAGAGAGGAAGATGCAGAAGATACATCTAGTTATAAATGATTCCTATGATTCAGATTAAAAATCCCAAGTTATCTTTTAATGAAAAGAAAATATAAATTATTTCATGAAAAAATCATCCTGGCTTATACCGGGGCAAATCCAGGATTTTCCCATCTCTTATCTTATTACTTATCTTAGACAATTAAGCCAAACTTGGCTTAGCTTATTTTGAACATCTCACTAAAGTACAACTGCAGTATTTTTTTACTGACRATGATACATAATTAAGTATGGTTTGTCTTCCTTCCTCTTATTTACTGGAAAAACTACTTGAAAATTACTAAATATTACTTAATCTATGCATTCAAAAAGGCTATCAAGGTATGCTGTCAGAAATCTAAAAAATATTTATTTAACAAAAAACTGGATTTYATTCTGGTCTGTATGTGTTAAAGACATTCTTCAATGGCTCATCTGATCCATGATATGAGTATTTTAAGAGTTATATATTTTCATCTTAAGTTTACTTTCTTTTTAAAGATTTTGTAAATTTAAGAACTTGTATCTCCTATTCGTTCTTGTCCTCCCTGTACTGAATTTACAAAGCTAAGTTGAAAATTTAGAATAAGTATAACCCAGCACTTGACCTTAACTATTTTTAACACCACCTGGTTGAGCTGAGAAGTTATACTAGCTGAGCCTTTAGTGCTCCTTTATTAACAGGGCTGTAGCAAGTGCAACAATATTGGTGGGGGGGGGGGGGGGCGGGCACACGAACAATGTCCATAGATATTGAAGGACAGCCNTAGCTGAGCCTTTAGTGCTCCTTTATTAACAGGGGTGGAGCGAGGGGAGGAAAAGGGGGGGGGGGGGGGGGGGGGGGGTCGGGCTCACGAACAATGTCCATAGATATTGAAGGACAGCCGAACGCTCATTTGCACCACACACATTTTTGGTTTGCTTGCCCATAGAAGGTTGGATTGTAAATTTGGATTTTCTTACAAATAGCGATTTACCAATAATAAAAAAATATGATGAAAACGACAATACTGGGTTTATTATTTTGGTTTTTGAAACAAAAAAACCTATGATAAGAACTATAAATTKTTATTAATGATTGGCGAATTAACATCACAATGATTATTTGTAAACACCAACTAACGCTATTTCTTCTGTACAGTATTCTTTTTAGCAATACATATTCTTAACATCTAAAATATACATTTGGTACAAGCAAACTTTTAAGTATTGAAATCTTATTTAATTCCTCTAGGCCCCTTCTATACATTGCTTATAATTGTTGTACAAATTATTTTTAGTATTTATTTGACTTTATAATCTTTAAAAAATTTGCATAAAGTCAAAATAATTTCAGTTTATTCTTTAAACTCATTCACCTTGGGTGAAATGTTTTGCCATTTAAGACCACATGTCATTCCATTAGGGAAAATATTCTTTGTATGAGTCAGAGGAGGTTTCTAGAATGTTACYAAAGAACAAAGAATCTTATTCTCAAGGAAATGACATGTGGTCTGAAACTGCAAACATTAATCCAAGCTGTCGAGAACTGTAATGAGTCTATATTCTATAGTAGGTATAACTAGCTAAAAACTAGAGTGAGGTGCGTCAGTGTTTTAGTGAAACAGTAATGATAAAAGGGTAAATTTGACACCGTGAAAAGATGAAAAAACTGAACTAAAGTAGAACTCGAAGGACTAGCGTCCTAAACGTCAGTAAGCTTYTTCATCTTTTCACAGTGTAAAATTTATCCTTTTATCATTTCTATAGGTTTACTAGACCCAGTTTAGTTTGCACAGTCAACAAAGCAATGARAGGTTACAGTTTCAAGTCCAGTTTGGAACTTAGATTTCCTATTCAAGACAAAATATATACTTGATGGAGTACAAATAAAATCATTGTTTAGAAAGGGGAAAAAGGGAAAAAATATCACAATTTGTTTACTCAGTTCTATTATTGGGCTTACCACAGGACACCCAACCTTTGTAAGATATAACAAAATAAAGGTTTCTACGGTATCAAGCATACTGTACATATATACTTATAATATCAATCTTTATCATATGACCCGTACGGCCCTGCTCGCACGCTCTAATAAAACCATTGGAAAAAGTCACGTGATGGGGGCCGGACAGCTTTGAGCAAGCAGGGCCGTACGGATGSGTACGGCCCTGCTCGAATCCGTGCGCTTTCTCTTTTTTAGCTTTTATTTACTATTTCTTTCTTTCTTCTATTTTTTATTGCTTTTTTTGTAAGGGTCATATGATAAAATGCTTATTGACTGAGTTAGGTCGGGCTGTAAGGGAAAATATTTGGCTCTCGGTCATTTGTACGGACTTTGCTGCGCTTGGTCTGTACGGCATCACCTTGAGCCAAATATTTTCCCGTACGGCCCTCCCACTCAGTCAATAAGTACATAGTATATCCTATTTCAGACCCGTACATCCATGCCTTTTCAAATCCAATAACTACATGTAGTCACATATATCTTTTGAATACCAATCCACTATTCATGAGAGTGAATAAGGTGTTTCCATGGCAACAACCAATAAATTCCTGAGGTACAGCACTGTCTCTCATACCTATATCTATCTCCAGTGGTTCTTGTGAAGAAAAATTGATCTTTCCATGTATAAGTTCAATACATTTGAATGTGAAATCCATATTTTCACCTATACTTCCATTGTTATTGCACAAAATAAAATATAGCAGGTTTCCATGGTAACATTAATAGCTAGGTACTATAATCCATACCTTCATATACATTGTCATCTTAGTAGCTACTCATAAGGTAACGATTCAATGTTTCCATGGCAAAACAAACCCCTTACACATACTTGTGATTGTCGTCATTGCCACCTTTACTTTTAGCTAATAGTGCTTCTCTTTCTTTTCTTCTCTTGTCCAGGTAAGGTTTGGAGAAATAAAATACTGTAGCGCTGCCAAGAATAAAAGCTGACCTGTTCACACACAAAAAAGTTTACATCAAAATTAATGTAGCATTACATGTATATGCAATGGAAAATGAACTGCACTAAGATTAAATAGTGTTTAATGGGAAAGTGATGCAGGGATAAGGTGTTGGATTTTTGTTTAAAATACCCTTGTTTGAGGGTAAAACATAAAACACTTATGATTAGAAACCATGATAAAATTGTAATGAGAATATTTTGATTTACTGAGGGASGGAAATTGAAGAACACAGAGAAAATGCCTCAAAGCATATCAGAGGAGAACCAATAAGTAACTGTACACACATTGCATGATGGTAAGTCCTAAGATCACAGCTGTGGAAGGTGTAGAGGTTAGGACTTCATGTGACCTTAAAGTAAAGTGACTAACCTTAAAGTTTATTATGGAATAGTGCCATTTCATGTAGTCATACATGGAGCAGTTAGGGGTGTGGAATGTAGTGTATCAACTGTGCAAATTATCTGAACTTGTTTGGTTTAATACATGAGGTAGCTCTATTCCCTTGTTCATTGCAAAAGAAATACATGCTTCATATATAATGGCTGTTTAATTACTTGAACATATAACCTCCAATTAGGGTGATGCTTTCATAGATGGGATTCTTTGACCATCTAAGTTTGTTATATTGTCGAAATTATCATCATATATCTTTTACAACAGTTTTAACGACAATACGAAAGCAGAATATCATCCCAGCTTGGTCCCCAGCTTGTGGACATGGGTAAAACATGTTCGCGCCTTTTGACTGAGCGACTTACAAATCGAGATTTAAACACATTTCTTGAATTAAAATCACTTACCAAACACCTGATATAACACAAACACGCTTTATTCGCATTCTCAAGCTTGGTTCAAGCCTTGAAAATTCACTTTTGAAGTCCATTTTGAAATTCTCTGTCAACTTTGCATCATAATCAGGCATACATGAAGTACTTACCCAACTTTGCATCGACTTTGATGAAAATTGACAGGCGTTTCTCACAAGTCGAGAAAGACTAAGACTAGAAAGATGACACTCATGTAACGCAATATTCCTGTCACGCATGAGTAAAAATGGAGCGATCTGTGGAAATTACCAAGAAGATCTTTGATCTTTATCGTAAATATGGTCGTGAGAATTATATAGGAGAGGAAGTAACCCAGATAGAGCATATGACACAGTGTGCAATGTTAGCRGAAAAGGAAGGATTCCCCGATGATGTGATTCTGGGGGTTTTCTTCCACGACATTGGACATTTAATTGGCATGGAACAAAGTCTTCCAAGGATGGGTAATCTAGGGACCCAGAACCACGATGAAGTTGGCGAGAAGCACCTCAAAGATCAGGGGTTTCAGGAATCTGTGACGAAGATGRTGTGGGGTCATGTGCAAGCTAAACGATACTTGGTCTATAAGTATGACGACTATTATGATAAGGTATGTAAGCTTGCCTCATTCTTTATCTTATATAAGCTAAACATTTTCCCCACTCTTTAATATGCCACTGTAATTCAGAACTGTTAGTTTTTTGTTTAAATTTATGAATGGGAAAAATATAGTCAGCAAAAACCGACCATTGCTATTAATCTCTCCCCCCAACACACTTCCATCAATCTCTTATCTATTTATTCTTCAAATTCCCCGTCCCCCCCCCCCATTTTAACCCTTTTATCCAGTTTTCTTATTTTCTCCAGTCCCTATTGATTTTTTCTCCTCTTCTCCTTTCATTTCCATTGTCATTTCCATTCACATTAATACATTGTTTTTGTTCTGAAACAGCTGTCTGATGCAAGCAAGRGAACTCTTGTTTATCAAGGAGGTCCAATGACACCAGAAGAAGCTGAAGAATTTGAAAGACTTCCTGTCTTCAAGGCACTTCTTAGAATGAGGTACTGGGACGATGAAGCAAAAGTGAAAGATCTTCCAATAGAACCRATTGAAAAATATGAACAAATGTGCATTAGATATTTGAATACATGCATGAGCAAGTGATACATATAAATGAACAATGACAGTTGCATGATTTYATTATTTATGAATGGATGGATAAATATTAATAAATGAGAATGAATGAATGATGATTGGAGTGTGACACACAAAGTTTGATGTATCCTTYGCTGACTAGCATTTCAACGACTGTCATTCAAAGAACAGTCTGCAATTAGGCTGCGTTCATAATGTATGGCAGAGGGGGG